ATGCTATAATGCAAATGCTGTGGTTTAGAGAAAGCTGAGAGAAGCTCAGATTTAGTGGTCAGTCTACACTCCAACCCTCACCTATGGTCATTAATCTTTTTATATCTCTGCTTCTGTCTCCTTGAACCCCAGTCGGTCTCAGCAGATGGCCGCTCACACTAAACCTGGTTCTGCTGGAGGTTTCTTCCTGTTAAAAGAGAGTTTTTCCTCTCCACTGTCGCTACAAGCATGCTTAGTGTGAGGGATTGCCTTCAAGTCAATGAGTCGATGCAATCAACTGGTTTTCCTTAGATAGAAAACTTTCAATTTGATTGTATGATCCGGTGAACTCAAGTGCCTTGAGATGACGTGTTGTGAATTGGCGCTATAGAAAAAAATCTTGAACTGAATTGAAATAATCTGGATCATGAGCCAAAGAACCAGATCCTGGATCCAAGCGGCTTAAATGAGCTTCCTCTGTAGGGAGGCAAGGCTCTACCTTAGAGGGTGAGGAGCTCATCATCGGGGAGAGGCTCAGAGTAGAGCAGGGGTTCGTTTCATGAAGCAGGTTTACTGAAAACTCAAGTTTCTTTAAACCTGAAATATGGGAAACTCAGTTTTCTGTTTCATAAAGAGTCTCCTCAACCTGTTTCAGTCACCATAGTAACATTCTCCCCAGATCTAACCTGGTCAGTAGCAGGTTTTCTTCAGCAAACTGAGTATCCTCTCTCTGCTCCCTACAGCCAATCACGTTTTAGTTCCTGATTTAATCCGATTTTTGTCATAATTTTGTGCATAAAAAAGGTAAAAAAAAAAAAAAAATCATTCCACAAGGTTCGTTATACATTAGGTTTTAAAACAAACATTGCATGTCTGAGGAGGATCTTATTAAAGAATGATCTGCACGTTTTCACAGAGAAATACATACTCTGTAACAGGATAGATTTATGTGTCTTTGGTTTGTTTAATATGAGCGAGATGCAGATCATTTTATTTATATTTAAGGTGCATGAAGAACTACTGAAATTATTTTCAGATTACGCATAAATAGATCCACTAATTCCACAGTGAAAACCAATAAATTTAGGGTTAGGATTCACTCTATGATAACCTACTGAGCCTATTGGCACAATCTGAAGCCATTCTATGGACCTGATAGCTGCTTATAACAACCATTTATTGGGATAATATCCAAAGCACGGCTGCAACAGCCTCTTAGTATTTATTGTGAATCAACATGAGGAGGAACCCATGATGATGCACGGGTCCTATATATCGTAATGTTTTTAGACTTCATATTCCCCTAAATAGATAAACTGATTATTACTACCATTCAAAAAATAAACCCATAATGTTATTGCGGTCAAAACACTTTATAGTCCCGTTTACACTACCCTCAGAAAACCGAATCAGTTTTCACACCACGCTAGCACGGTTCCTCACCTCCTAGTTGCGATCTACGTTTCTACTGATCTCTATATGGGAAATTAGCAAACCAACATGGCGCTGACTGTAACTTTCAGGAAGTTTGCAGAGAGTCAGGCAAAGAAGGCAACCTTTGGAGAATTTAGTAGACAGAGTCGGCTTTGGGGAAGTGGATACGATAAACGCAGAAACAATGACAGACGTTGAGGTTCATCACACTAAGCAGAATCATCACTGGAAATCATGTGGCACGGTAGGGAAGCTATTATGAATGTCTAAAATTTCATGATTCTGGAGGCTGACTGTAAGGAGAGGACGCGGTCTGCTCATGTGCTCTATGTTATCAGAGAACCGAGCCAGAACCGAACCACACCGAGCCCTACTGATGAACTAGTACCATGTTAGCACAGTTCGGTTCAGTTGTGCATATCATCTACACATGGGCGGATTAAGGAAATTTGGGGCCCTAGGCAAAGACATGCATAGGGCCCTCTGAATTGAAAGGATAGCACATAAAAAAGCACCATTACACAGATACAGAATTTTATCTTAAGTTTTATTATTTATAAATAAGCACTTAAAATAAGTGCTATAAGGATCTGAAAAGTTGCTAAATAAAGTGACAAAAGCGCATAGGGCAAAGCTGGCAGCACTACTCTTGGCACCGTTTGTTTTCAAACGCTCAACTGCTGACTGGACCTTTCTGCACTTGCGCAGCAAATCGACTGGTCCAATGTTGTGGATACTAACGGGATGTTGGTATTCTGCATTCTGATGGCATTTTAGAGAAAGGACATAATTAATGTGCACAAATGAGTAATACCTGAATTAACCATACATGTAAAAGGAGGTTTATGGGGCCCCCACGAACTTGGGGCCCTAGGCAGCCTAGTTTTGCCTAATAGTAAATCCACCCCTGCATCTACACTCAGTTATCTCGGTTACGATGCTCTTGGCACGGTTTCAAAAGGTTAGCGTAAATGCGGCTTATGGCAAGCTGCTTTAATATGCATTAGCTTTACTGAATATATATTTCTTGGTCAAAATGAGCATTTCAAACACATCTAGAATAAACTTTCTGGATGTCTAGAAATTAATTTCAGATCTCCATATTCCTAATTTTAATGGTCAGCATTGGTATTATTTTGACTATGAAGAAATGTTTTTCAGATATAAAAACATTTTGTCAAGCTGATAAATGTCAGACCAGCCACTTAAAATGTGTAAACATTTTTAGATATATAAAAGTTTTTTAACTTTTTGAAATTCAGTTTCTGCTGAAACAAAATAATTTAGAAAATATAATACAGGTCAGTCTAGGAGCGTGATTTCGATTGACCAGCAGAGAGGGTGCTTTTAATAAATGTATAAAGGGCCTGCCATAGACCACTATACATAAACCTATGCATCAACTTGAGCAACAATCTTCTCCTTTGCAGCTCTAGAGATGTCTTTTCAACATTTTTTTTTACCAATTTCTTCATTCAAATCTCTGGCTCCAGTGGGGTGACATTGGCACCTCCTGTTGTCATGGCGACTCTTTGAATCAGAGCTCCACTGATTTTAAACTCGTCACGCACGCGCTGAACTCTGAGTGGATTTTCATAGCAGCTTGGGTGAAACCGGAGTTCCCGACTTTAGGCTAGATCAATTCAAGTCTAAGCTGCGGATTTCAATCTGAATTTGTTAAACCTGCTTCCTGAAACTGACCCCTGCTTCTCCTCCACATGCAGAGGAGCCAGCTGAGGAGGAGCAGAAATGTTTTGGAAAAAAGGTATTCAACTATACGGCCCATTTAAATAAGTCTGCGCTTCATTCCTTTGCAAAGAGAAGATGGCATGATCTAGTTTGTCTCACTGATTTAAACCCTGCAGAAAGGCTGTGAAAGTGCTAATACAGTTAATCAAACTGATAACTCTCCACAGCAGCTGCTGCTCCATCCATCTTCTTCTGCTTATCCAGGGTCAGGTTGCAGGGTAGGGTCCATTTGGCTCCACCAGTATATACAGCCCTTCGTTGTCATGCACATCCTTGTGACGGTTGGCATAGGGCGTCATTTCTTCAAACTGTAAAATCCTTGCAACAAACTAGATAATAATAAAACTAAATTGCTTTATTTAAACCAAACTCCAATGTTCCTCTTATATTTGGTGAATTTATGTTCGAATATTTAGCAAAAATATGTTGTGGTGCATGATGGGGTTTTGCAAATAAAGGATAATGTTTCCCGTCTTATGTGCATTGTTGCCAGGTTGGGATGTTTCCCAATCTGGCAGTTTAGGATGGCCGTCAATGGGTAAAAAATGTTTTTCCTTTAGATTTTGTTCAAATTGGGCAAGATTTCAGTGGCGGGGGGGGGGGGGGGATCCATAAGTGGTCTGGTGTAGATTGAAAAATGTCAGCGCCGAAAATCGTTCCCAGTCCGAGTCTGCATCCAGTTCAGTGAGGGCTGTTGATCACAGCCTGATGAAGCCAACAGAACATCATCTGCAAAAAGTAGAGATGGGATTTAAAACGGCCAAAGAGGATCCCCTCGGCTCGGCCCCTGGGCCGCACCTACAAACGCTCCATAGATGTTAAGAGTAGAATCAGAAAGAAAGGGCGATACTGGCAGAGTCCAAATCCAGTCCTACTTCTAGCAAGGCGTACCCAGCTCTGACAGCTGTCAACCAAGGACCTAACGGCCCCTAAAGGGCCCGGAGCTCCTCAAAGTTTGACGTGAAAAATCCTAAATAAATTAAACAATGTCTAACCTTTAAGGGTAGTTCCTCTCCTGAACGGGCTGAGTTTAGAAAGCACCGGAGAATCGTTTGACCAAGCCCCCTTTGGTTCCATCAAAATGTAACGATGGGCCAGATTTTTAACCTTTCCTAAATATTTAGGCCCCGTCCACACGAAGGCAAAACGAACACGAAACGCTAATATTTTCCAGAACGTTTGTCGTAAAGACGGAGACGTAAAATAAATGTGATCGTCCACACGAATACATGAAAACGCTGCAAAATGTATGCCAGGCCTGTAAGTGGCGCTGTGGTGCCAAAGCAAAAATAGGCGACGAAATGTTGGGCATGCGCAAGTAGAATCAGTCAAATTCAGGTGCTGAACTATGTCGTCGATATTGCTCTGTTCTTCCTGGAGATATTCCAGAATAAGAAGATTCTGTTGTAAGCCCGACAGCAGGGTGAGTAGCATGAGCAGCAACCATTCAACACAGTACGGCGCCATTGTTGTTGTGATACTGTGTCGCACATGCGTGTTTAGAGGCGACGCTATGACGCATGCGTGTAAGAAAAAAAAATGCGGTTAGAGCTTAAAGATGGAAACGCGAAAACGGCGTTTCAGAATCTTCCCACTCAGAAGGCTGAAGAAAAAAAAGATCGTTTACAGACCCCCGAAACGCCGGCTTCGTATGGATGAGAGGCTGGTTTGGTGAAAAGTTTGTGCGTTTAGGCCAGGGTTTGACTTCGTGTGGACGGGGCCTTAGGCCACTTTATTTCAGAGGAAAGGAAACAGTGACGATCCTTGGCAGCACTGATCAGGTCCCACCAGAACCAAACCCACAATCATCAACCTTAGAAAGGAGAGGAAGCAGAAAAAATGAAAAAGATAGATTTATTTAACGACAAATGAAAACAGAGAGAAGTCATGGAGCTTCTGAGGAAGAGCAGCAACATTACCGAGAAGAACGGGGGTGGGGTGGGGGGGTCCTCCACAGAGAAGAAAACTAAACGGTAGAACAGAAATATCTCACCAACATGAGAACAGAGAGGAAAACAACCCAACAGACTTTTCTTCTTTTCACCAGAAACACTGAAGTTTAGCCACTAATTTCACAAACTGCCTTTTAATTCATAAAATTCTTTACAAAAGATGAGAATTATGATCTATTTGTTTTTAACGACAGCGACGTCTGAACCGTAGAAAGTTTCCCTGGTTCCAGGCTGGGCGTTGGATGGCGGCGAGTCCGTCGACCTCTCAGACAAAAACGATAAAACAAAACAAAGAGTCTGAAGAACTGAAATGCAGCTTTGCCCTCGGACCGGATCGGACCGGACCCCGGCGATGCAATCAGAACCAACCGAGAGCAGCTGAGGTCCGCTTCCAAACTTCTAGATCTGGTCCAGATGGACCCGTATGCAGATGGGAGGATGAAGGTTTGGGTTCAGAGACGTTTTATATGAGAGGGGGCAGCCAGGTAGCAGGCTGGGTTCTGAAGGGCGGGTCAGAACGTCTTTAGTGAGACGGGCCTCGTCCTGAAATGTTGGGGAGCCTCACGTCGAGTCCGGTTATGACACATGCGCTTGGCGGGTCCGAGTGTCTGGGAAGATGTCCTCTACACGGTTACATCCTTGTTTTTAACATCCATCCATTCACTCATTCATCCATCCGTCCGTCTGTCCGTCCATCACCCCTGGGCCTTCAGCGCTGCCCCAGCACGGTCCAGTTCCACGTCTCAGGGGTGTAGCAGAAACAGGGTGGGGCCACGGGCTCCCAACTGATAGGGCCCCCTATTAAAATGGCCCCCTCCCTAGCAGCCTTGCACTCTAACGTTCGTCTGCCGAGCGTTCTCAGCACATGGAGATGGTGACGTTGATGCCCAGGTTCCCGTTCTCGGCGAACAGCTGCGCGATCGACGTGTCGAACACCAGGCAGTCGCTGTTCATGATAGCCGTGGCGATGCCCTCGTGGATGGAGCGGGGCGTGGCCTCCCAGGTGAGCCGGCGCCGGTGGCCGTTCAGCTCCAGTCGGTAGGCGAAGTTCTCGGCCTGCTTCCGAGTCCCGATGAGCTGCACGATGGCGAAGAACTGCTGGTGTCCGTCGTACTTCTCCTGCTTCTCCAGGACCAGCATGAAGTGGAAGCCGAAGCAGGACTGCATCATGACCCAGTCCACGGCGCCGGGGAGGTTGATGTCCGTGGCCAGGAAGACGATGTCCTCCCCCTGCAAGCAGGAAAAACAAACGTTCGGTTCATTCCTGCTGTTCAACCTGTCCTCCAGCAGAGGGCGCTCTAACTGATCACAGCTTGGTAGTGAGGAGGAAAACATCCTGAAGACAAATTCACAGAAATTCCTGCAGATTAGAATCTGAACTAGAAAACATGATAGTAGGAAGTTTTCCAGCCTCAGCACGTGGGAATGTTTCCCTGTGCTGAATATGACTGCTGCTTATAAATAAATAGTCTTAAACTGTTCATTTGATCCAGCTGTGTTGATGTGAAACTACACGGCGGCGGCACTCAGCGATGGACGCCGCTGTCCCCTGATCTAAAACCACTTCTCAATAAACAGAACCCAGAAGGTTTAAACTGTGCGGTTCTGACCTGCAGCGTGGTGATGGACTTGTGCTGATGCATCAGGTGCGGCATGACGGCGTCCAGGGAGCCCTGCCATTTGCAGGAGGCGCCGGGACAGGGGCAGGAGTACGGCCGGAACTCGCACAGCTCCTCGTGCTCCGTCTTGTCGGTGTGCGGCAGCGTGACCTCGCAGCCCGACGAGGCGTACTTACAGGGGAACAGGACCGAGTTGGCCACCTTCTCCATGGCCAGGTTCCTGATGGAGCCCAGGGGACCTCTGCAGGTGGGACAGCAGGTGAGCTTTGGCCGGCAGTTGGAGCACACCTGTAGGGGGGAGGGGGGGACAAGAAGAAGGTCGTGACTCGATTTGGAAAACAGACGTAAAACTGAGTTCATCTGCCTGAGCTTCAGGGTGAAATGTTGTAAAGAGGGAGAAGCTAAAGCTAAGACTTCACTACAGTTTGGAGCTGAAGGTTCTGGACGCCCGCGTGGTTCTGGGGAGGGACGTACCAGGTGTCCCGACTGACACTGCAGGATGGGGGGCAGCACATAGTCGAAGCAGACGGGGCACTCAAACAGGCTGGCCAGGTCACTGTTGGAGGCGTTGGTGCCCGACAGGGTGGGCACGCGCTGAGAGGGGGGGCACTTGGAGGTTCCTGTGGGCAGCGCGGTGGCGGTCTGGCGACTCATTTCTGTTGGTTAGACGAGAAAGCAGATCAGATGGTTAAAGCCCTTCAGATCCTGGATCCCAGCGTTTTAGAGGAACGCTGCGTCTGGATGTGGGGGCGGGACGACCAAGGAGAGCGAGGAAAAATAACCAGAACCAGATTTAAAAAATACATTTTCATCAACTGAAATAAAAATACAAAAAATAGACCTTGCAAAAAAAAAAAAAAAAAAACATCTAAAGACTAACAAACTATAATACATTTTTAAGAAACAAGGTTTTAGAGATGATCTTGGTTTGTTTGTTTATCATAATGCACTGATACAAGTTCTGCGTCGCATCAAAATGTTTCCTTCAGCTTTTTCTTGCTAAGGGCAGATAGAGTGAGAAATAAAAGCTGAACTTTCCCTCCAGCAACTACAACTATCGACTTGGGAGAAAGATCAAAGCTCCGACTTCAGAGATGAATCAGAACCAAAACCTGACTTAGAAACCTGAGAAACCTAAAGCAGCTTCCATTTATTTAAGCAGAAAAAAACAGGAGAACTTTAAGGTTTTCCAGCCGTTCCGCCTCCTGACAGGCTTGTTGTTTTGATTATCAGGAGTCAGACGGGGGGAGGGGGGGTGCCAATGTGTGTGGGAGGAGAAGGAGGCAGTAGAACAATATGTGCGCAGACAACCCAGCAGCTGAGAGAAGCTGTTGACTATTTCATCCTAAACCTGAGCTGCAGGAGCTGCAGCATTTCAATCAATCTAATTTATCAGATTTGATGATCAAAGAAACTGAAATATTTTGCTCAAATTCTGAAATGTTTGCAGAATGATTCAGGGGTTCAACCCGTCTGCATGCAGATGTGGCCGCTGGAACCCGCTATAGAGGTAAAGACAGCCTGCAGCGCTAGCTGCTATTAATAGGAGCTCTTAGCATGCTAACAGCAGAGACCAGATTAGCTCAGGACATTCAGAGGGGCCTTAAAGCACAACGGAAAGGTCACAGCTACGTGCGCTACGAGTTCTCGCAGCTCAACGCCGGCAGCTTCAGGTTCAGCAAACTTCATTTTCAAATTGGTGCAGAAAGACAAGGCAAAGTTTTTGGTGAATAGGCTGTATTTATTTCACCCTTTTCAGGAGACTTGACCAAAGTGCTGCATTCAGTCATTCACCCATTTTCTCTCACACTGATGGTGGTGACCCACACTGGGGTTCACTGACTGACCTCCATCAGTGAGCAATATTGGGGAAGTTTCTTACCCAAGGTTCCAACAGGACTTGAACCGAAGGGTTGACGGATCAAGGCCCAGGCAAACCAGGGCACAGCATTTTATTCTGAAAGAGAGACTAACAACGCTGTTGCCTAGATAAGTTATCATCCAGTCAGAGGATGGATCCGCTCAGACCGTTGGGTTCGCTCCTGCCTTGCAGGAACAACCTGATGAACTTCCTGCAGAGAAGAACTACGGTACACGAGAGGGTGAGACGACCTGCGGGATCCACATGACTTATCACTAAATAAAGGAAACTGTTCCTGTCTTCTTCTGCGTTGGCCTACAGAAAACATTAACCCTCACATAAAAACAGGAAGAAACTGAGTTAATTCATTCATTGTCAGCATCAAGGCTTTTATTTTGAAATGTACCTTTTAGCCAAAGAGCATCCAACGGATTATATGCTGCATCCATCAGTCATGGAATAATGATGCTCTGATCTGGATTTTAGCCACTGGTCCAGAAACCGATCACCCAGCAGGCCGACCACTGGTCTCTATTTACTCCCTGGATTGCTGATAGACCGTTAGCAGTATGGGGTTGAAGTGAAGCCACCGGCTGCCATATTGGTACTCCCTAATTAAACCGGCCACAATGGAAACAATATGGGCGCTACAGCATCAAACAACAATGATTTTCTCATTTTCAGGGGGGCTTAACACTTTTAAAATAAAGATAAATCCATAACTTGAACACACTTGCTGTTTCATAGAATAAGTAGATTATTACTGTAACTTAAGATTAAAAAAATAGGCACATCACATTGCATTATGAAGTCAATAAATCATGTAATATAACATATTATACAAATCCATCACAACAAAATGTATTTGTTAATTGAGCATTATAATAACGATGTTCCAAAAGTGATAAATTGCTGATGTAATATACATGTATTGATGACATTGTTGTCACAATAATATCTTGCATATAATTTCAAGATTTCACATTAAGGTCTGAATTACAAGCACCCGTCTGCTGTACACATGCTCTGTCCGTGCATTAGCCTTTAAAGATGTCTGTGTTGCTTTTTTCCCCCCTCATCAATATAACATGCAATATGACTTTTTCTAATGAGAAATAAAACTAACACTACAAAAACGACATCATTCACTTAAGAATTACTACATTGACATTTCAGTCAATTACTTTCTATTTACCGTATTTTCACGACCATAAGGCGCACCGTACTAAAAGGCGCACTCTCAGTTATGTGTCCCATTTCTGTATTTAACACAGACATAAGGCGCACCGGACTATAGGGCGCGTTTTTTGTATATACAGGTACATGTCCTCTACTACCTTTAAATAGCTCTACTGCGTATTTAAAAATACAGCGGGGGCAAAACTGAGTATATTTGTGCTTTATTCATGTATTTATTACAAACTATTAATCAAACCTGGGTGCTGGCCGTGAGACAGACACATCGCAGATGACACAGCGCTGTGATCACTCCTAAATTAAATTAAAATCCTGAAACCTGCCCACGGAATATGTTCGCTTTTATTACTGGTATCCTGGTGCCTGCAGCTGAAATTATTTAGATGAAAAACACCTGCCAGCCACCGCGGTGAACCCGGAGGCTGCCCAGCCTAGAGGCTGTTGATGAAGGGATTTCTGCTGTCAGCGCACCGCTGGTATGTGGGGGTCTGAGCGCCTCCGACAGAAATAGATAATCTGGATGAACTGACTGCAATTATGAAGTTTTCAGGTGGACTTTCTCACTTAAAAACATATTAAAACTACTTTATTCCCACTGATCACAGCAAATATAGCTGCAAGATTTAGATTATTTAGATGAAAAAACACCTGCCAGCCGCCGCGATGAAGAGGAGGAGACCCGCCCAGAGGCTGCTGTTGAATTAAGTTTTCAGGTAGAAAAATAGAGCGGGAGCAAAACTGAGTATGTTTGTGCTTTATTCATGTATTTATTACAAAGTATTAATCAAACCCATCAAAGTCATCATCCTCTGTTTCTGAATTAAACAGCTGCGCTAAATCAGACATGCCAATTTCCCCTTCTTCACTGTCAGAGTCACTTTCCGTGCAGCGCGGCTCCTCAGAAATAATGCTGGCCTTTGCGAAAGCTCGAACAACAGAGCCAGCAGACACGTTAGTCCAAGGATCTACAATCCATCCGCAAACGGTGGCGTAACTTGCCCGGCGCTGCCTTCCACTTATCCTGAAACTGTGGTCTCCGCCTGTCATCCATCGCTCCCACGCCGCTCGCAGCCTTACTTTGAACGGCCGCTTCACACCGATGTCGAGCGGTTGAAGCTCCTTTGTCAGACCCCCGGGATAACGGCGAGCACAGCGTTCATTTGATTCACCATGTTTTTCTCATCAGCTGTGAGATGGGCACGCATGGAGTCACAGATTAACTGCGATGGTGATGCGAGGAAAAAAACCACCTGGTCTCCTCACATACAGCTGCCTCAGCCACGCTTTCATCATCTCCTCATCCATCCAGCCTTTTTCATTTGCGCTAATATCATATGTCATCAGAGCGCTGTGTCTGTCTCGCTGTCAGCTCCCAGATCAGCTTCTCTGATTGGTTGATGCGGCGCGTCCAGCAGCAAAACTTCAATTTTTCCATCTCGAGCAGCAGCAGCGTGTTGGCGGTGCGTCAGATGCTTAAACGCTCCCGACGCTGCACCTGCTGCTCAAAACGCGCTGCGGGACCTTTTGCTGCGCCTATACGCGCGTCAACCATTGACTTTGCATGTAAACTCGCTGCTTCTGCTGCACCTGCTGGGTCCGGTTCACACCGATGTCGAACGGTTGAACAGCGAGCACAGGGTTAATTTGTTTCCCCATGTTTTTCACATCAGCTGTGAGATGGGCACGCATGGAGTTACATATTAACAGCGATGGTGATGAGTGGAAAAAAAAAACACCTGGTCTCCTTACATTCAGCCACTCTTTCATCATCTCCTCAATGAGGTGGTCTCAAAAGTCGCAGTTACAACACACATAAGGCGCACCGCACATTTTGAGGGAAAAAAAAGACGTTTAAGTGCGCCTTATAGTCGTGAAAATACGGTACTCTACTTTCTATTTTCTAACAGACAGAATGTCGATGGCTAACTCAGTCAATGTCTTTGAGTCGGTTCAAAATAGCCAGACTAATCTTATACTACATACTATTGGATACATTGCGTTTATATGGATTTTCTTGGTTAGTACATCCACTGACTGGAATTACCTGTGGAATGTCCTCCCACTGCTGGCAAACTGCCTGTTTTTGCAGCCAAATGCTGCACATGTAAGCATATTTATGGCTTCCCACTCAATGGGAGTGGCGGGTATGGCGGCCGGTGGCAATCCAGTGAATAAATAGAGATCAGTGGGGCCGACTTACAACTGGCTATAATATCTGTCAAAATGTAATCATAAAATCACCCAATTTATTCATTTAACAGATTTTCCTCAAATTATCTCTTTCATATTAGCGCACAGCTAAAGTTTTAATACACATGTGAAAACTTTTTTTTTTTAATAGATCCTGCAGCTTTAAAGCTACAGTGTGTAATAATTACAGGGATATACAGTCAGAAATGTAATATATTATACATAACTATGTTATTTATCATCATCTACGAGCTCAGCCTCTTAACCTTAATATTTGCGTTGCCTTAGAATTCGTTATTTATAATTACATAGGAGCGGGTCTGTCAGCCATGGAGGCAGACATCTTTGCGCTACGGCAGCGCAGAGCCAACAAACTAGCGATTGCGAGATCGCCCATTACGCTCGAAAGTAACTACGGCAAGTTGAGAGAGATGAACTGAGACGGTACTGAACAATAGATGGCAGTATTAAAATTATCTATGTAAACAAACCTCATCACTTGAGAAGGTAGGTGATGCGGACGTCGTGGAAGACATTTTGTCCCGTAACGCTCGCCGTACTGTTGGGGGGGAGATGTTCATGTTGCTGCGGTCTGCAGTCTGAACGTTAGATGTCGCTGAAAATTACACACTGTAGCTTTAAGGAGACGTTCGCTCTGAAACTCCACTGTCAGGTGGAGCTGAAACATTTACGCCCCAGCAGCACAGTCCCACATCCAGAGCAGTCGCTGGAACCTAAAGTTTTTCCCTGCTGCTCCTTTATAACATTCATCAAATCCTTATTTTTTCTGACCATCGTGTCCGTGGAAGAGAGTCATTTTGAGTTGCTCTAACTGCGGTCTATTCTTCTGTGGTGAGCCTCAATAACTTATCATACTGCGTGACGTGCATATTGCTAAATGTCACAATGGATTGGTGCGTTTTGACGCGATTCACCTCCAAGGAATTTTTCCGTGGCTAAAAGCAAAATTCACTTTACTCCCAAAGTGCAACATGTCCAGGTGTGCTCAGGATTTGATGCTGTGCTGTGCAGTGAGAGTTAAAGAGGGAAATACGCAGCAGGCAAAGCCAAGACAGACATTCAGGTGATCGGTTTCTGTGATCGCTAACAAAAGATGATCTGTGATCATCAATCACACTTTTTCATGAAAATCTGCCAATTAAGATAGGTGGCCAATCAATCAACACACCACTAGCAACGAGGGCCTGGATGCATGGAGGTCTGAGGTGCTTTTGAACAAATTAATCATTACACACAGTGATGCATATAAATCAGCAAGCAGCCAGCGACAGACTAACCCAGCATGGCATGATCTTCTGATGATCCTCCACTCTTCACTGTGGTACCAGCAGCTAATCATGCAGCTGTGAGCTTCCTTAGCACTGCGCCTGACAACAGCACCATGGACCAATAATCCAGGAACAGACCGGAGATGTTCTGTTGGTTTTCCCCCGGATCCTCCCTAAACCCCCAAAACTAAAAAGTTACATCCAGCTCCACATAAAAAAGAAAAGAAAAAAGAAACAGATCTGTTAAATATTTGATTGAATAGGACAGTTTTTGGACTTTTTTCCCCCATTGAACTAGACGAGCCGCCGGGAGACGAGCCGCCAGGTATCGACTATGGTAAAAACAGCTACTGTTTCCAAGTTTAAAGACGTTTCCCATCCCATCCAGGAAGGTTTTTCCATTTAAAATGTCAGAAATAGAGTTGAGTTTAAAGCTTTATATATAACTCAATGGTAATTCTGACATTTTGAAATGAAAAAGCTTCCTGCATGGGAAGTAAAAAATCCTCAAACTTGGGAAACAAATTGCAGTGGATTGTGCTATTTAACCTTTTTGGAATGACTATGATCTGGATGAATGAGAATCCTCACCAGCATATTAACACTGATACACATGAAGCTGCTGCAGAGCTGCATCAGTAACAGAGCTGCTGCCAGCTTGGAGCTTTTTCAAATGCAAACATCTTTAGCAGATTGTTTAAATTGGCCAACCCAGCTCCACCCTGCTTAGATTTCCCAATTAGCCATTTTCATTAACAATAACAGAACCATTTTCTTTCTTATTAAAACAAAAGGCTGTAAATTAAGCTTAAATTTGCAACATATTTCTACCTTTCTGTAAATCTGCATTTTACTTTCCTGCTGATGTCCCAGAGGTCCCCCACTGGGGGACAACAAGGTTTTATTGAACCTATTCTTCCAATTAAACAGGGCAGATATCGCTAACCGATGTTTAGCAGCCCTTTGTTTCCGTTGGTCATTTGGTATTTGTGACAGCGGTGCAGCGTTGCGTGTGGGGGAGAAGCATTGGAGAAGGTTCACTTGGTTTTTTTTTTTATTTCCTTCTAGAATAGATTCAGGTGTTTCATTTTTTTTAAATGCACCAGAAAACTGTTGTTAAAGTTTGGAGGTCTAATTCATCAAACGTACATCCTCCAATTTCAAAAACTAACCTGCAGCAGGAACATGCAGTCCCTCACATGACACCGTCATGAAAGCACTGATCAGCTGGCTGATGTAAACACAGCTTTGCATGAACCATTTCTGGTCGGATGTGGGTGTGTGCAGAGCGCCAGACATAAAGCCTTAAAGAAATAGTACACCCAAAACATGATTAGCCTTCATTTTCTACTCACCCCCATGCTGAACAACACTCTGGAGTACTTTTTTGATATCTCAAATGCATCTGGAGATCTGGGAGGCTTCTTGCTGTCTGCTGACATTCAAATAATGGAGGTCTATGGCGCCCGAGGCAGAAAGGTCCATAAAAGTCCACAAAAAACGTGTCAATATTCCTCCATACTGCTCGTCCAATGTATTCCAAGTGTCCTGAGTGGGTAGCATCCAGAATTTACTCGAAACGAAGTCATTTAGAATGTTTTTAGAGCATAAACAGTAGTGTATAGGATTTCCTGAAAGCGCGCGCCAGCCCGTTCATGACGCTACGGAAGCCGGCAGACCAAACCAGATGAAAGTGCGCATTCAGCGTCTGCTCTGCCGATAATGCAAGCGTAGAAGAAGAAATGTGCTGTTTACCTGTGCAAAGAAAGAAACAACGAAAGAAAAATGTCTGAGGACTTCAGTGTTGAGGAAGAGCATGAGTTCTTTGCCGAGCTGAATGCGCACTTTCATCTGGTTTGGTCTGCCGCGGTTTCCGTAGCGTCTTGAACGCGCTTTTAGGAAATCCTATACACTACTGTTTATGCTCTAAAAACATTCTAAATGACTTTGTTTCGAGTAAATTCTGGATGCTACCCACTCAGGACACTTGGAATACATTGGACGAGCAGTATGGAGGAATATTGACACGTTTTTTGTGGACTTTTATGGACCTTTCTGTCTCGGGCACCATAGACCTCCATTATTTGAATGTCAGCAGACAGCAAGAAGCCTCCCAGATCTCCAGATGCATTTGAGATATCAAAAAAGTACTCCAGAGTGTTGTTCAGCATGGGGGTGAGTAGAAAATGAAGGCTAATCATGTTTTGGGTGTACTATTCCTTTAAATCTTGGAGCCATTGCTGCATTTATTGATTCAATTTGCTGTTTTTTTTCTTCTGGTGTAGATCCAAGGCAATCTTTGATCAATTAAACCCTGGAAGTGAGAGGCTAGAAGACAATTAATCCGATATATTTACTCACCTTCGTCCATAAGATTTCCAAAGAAGGCTTTCGTCTGATCTTGAAATGTTGGGACCTCTGCAAACACAGAAACACAGACATGAGGGAGATGAAACAATCTTCTAGTAACCAAACAGAACATCAGCAGCTCAGCGTTTCCCTGTGGTTGGGATGACTTACAAGTATGGATATAATAAACTATCTCCATCTTGTTTATCTTATTCATCTCCCTTTTGAAATTCCAAACATTTCCATTAATCATGTTTGTTGGTCATTGTCGCTTTTAAAACGCTTCTTCTGCTGCAGTGATGAATTAGTCGACCCATCAGGGTCGAGGGTTATCTGACGTCACAGTGATGTTCATCTGCTGAATGCATGAAATTATCTGAAAGGTAAACATGTTCTGTGTCTGCCAGCTGAACTAGTTTCACCTCTGCTCATTTAAGCAAAAAAAAACTGTAGATTTAAACCACATTTAAAAGCATCATCTGTGTCCTTTAGGTAAAATATTGAATTCTTTAACAGCAGACTTTTTCATCCATTACAGAGGTTTTGATCATGTTACTGACAATATTTTAACACAAACTGCTAGTCAAGATACCTTTTAAAATATAAATGTCTCTATATTATGGCCGCAACTTTAAACCCTTTATGTAATGTTTCAGCATCAACACTCACTCCTCTCGAAAGTGTTTCTACTTTTGTCTGATTAATATTCTAAGCTATAATCTTTCATTATTGTTCTATAATGAACGTCTTCTATACAAGACTCCAACATAGCTAATGAATTAGCTACTGCTAGTGCCAATAAACACAAAAAAACAACTGAATGGATTAGGGATGCAGGATATTGGGATTTTGGCTGATATCCGATATGCCGATATTTTAAAACTCATGTAGCCGATAACCGATATCGATACCGATGTTAAAGCTGGACAAAAATAAGTAGTCATTAAAAATAGCAGTTTTGTTATCCATTACTGACACTTTGAAAAATAATATACTCAAATATATTTTCATATGCTGATATCAAATAGATTTTTAAAAACGCGGTATCTATTTTACTTTCAAAATCTCGTGAAATTTCATCGTTCTGTTACAAACTCTCGTGATATTTTGCAAATTCTTGTGAGATTTTGTTAGTAAAATAGATCGATACCGCGTCAATATATCAACATATAAAAATATGGCAAAATTTCGTGAATTTTCGGGGGATTTAATAGCATAACGATGACATATAGCAATATTTCATTAGTAAAAGAGATTGATATGGTGTTTTTAAATGGCAATATTTCAGCATATGAAGATATTGGGATATTTTAATGTATCAATATTTTTTCCCTTGTCTTTAGAAGTTTTTAAGTCTGTAAAAAAGAAGTTTTTGAGGAAGAAGAAGAAGTAGTATTTTTATTTTTATTTTTTTTTAGACTTTAGAAACTCAGAAGCTGATCAAATATCGGGTTAAATATCGGTAGGGTGGCCGATGTCCGATATTCAGTTTTAAGGCCGATACCGATAGGGGGCCGATTATATCGTGCATCCCTAGAATGGATCATAAAACTATTTGTGTGATACATTATCATTCAGTGACCTTAATCTACCGAGGAATTGAACATTTAGATTCACCAATTTGTTGCTTCAACAAACACAGATAACAAAAACACTGCGAAAGAAAAGAAATGCTGAATCTGGTGGATTGTAAACAGAAAGTCCAGCATTGTTTAGTTTTTCCACAGCAAATACACAGACGTAACAAAACGACGTCCGACAGAAAAAGGAGAAAACTAGGGGCTGAAAAATATCACCCGGGTTGATGAGGCGTCATAAATTTGCTTTGAAGCGACTTCATAGTTCTGATGAATTTGAAAGTAAAAAGCAAAAGATCAGAGATTTTTCAGCGGATGCATCCTGGTGACAGATTCAATATAAACACAGTTTAGTTTGCAGTCAGAAACAGCCCCTGTATCGGTCATGTGACTTTATGGTTGCACCGACACAGCGTTTAGTGGACCCATCACCAATACGACCCAAACAGGATCTGGAGAGAAAAAATGTAACCTTTCTGGTCATTTAAGGATGCAATATAGGAGTGGGCATTCATCATAAACTTCATAAATGTCTTGTTTGGAGAGGAAGTTTGATATGATGTATAAACTATATAATCAGCTGTGTTTCTTGGATGAAGCAACAGCAGCAGATAAACCTCATGCAGAACAACAGCTCCTGGGCTGATGACAGAAAGTCCCTGGAGAATTAGTGTTTTCCTCCCAGGTGGATCAGCTCTGAGGAACCGTTTGTTTTTTATGGCTGCTGTCTCCGCCGTGCCAACAGGCTGGCTGATACCAGGAAGCTCGCCGTCCATTGTGACCATTTAGGCAGACTGGAGAATGCTCATTCAGGCATTTAGGATGTTTAGCTTCTGCTAATGTCAGATGCATCACCGAGGGGCTGCAGTAATCGCTCAGTCCTGCTGCGCCGGCTGCTGGTGCTGCTCATTTATATTTCATAATGCAAACACAGCCACGGTCTTATCCCTAATCTGTGAATCCTACCAAATCAAGATGGGAATAATCCGACTCCCTGCAGAGTGCAGTTAATCCACACAGCAGTTTGGAAACAAGAAGAATTTATTTCCATTAGGGGTCATGTAAAATTTCTCGAATCCGGATTCAAACGGACTTTCACCATCATGCCGTCCTGTATGCAGCCTTACAGGCAAATAATTGTTATAGAAAATAAGACACAAAGCTTCAGCCGTGGCTTGAAATGACCAACCAGAGAGCAGACGACATGTTCTAGTGTCCTAAGAACCCTCGGCTCAGTGGTTCCCCTGTCCAAATGCGGCTGCACTGGTGGACCTGTGTTACCATGACGGGCCACCCATATCTGGGCGGACGTGCTCGTTTTTGTTAGAATGCTGCTGTGAGGTTGACCCTCAAAAATCAACCAGTGGATGTGAATTTGAAGACAGCTGATCAGCAGAGATGGCAACAGAGGAGCTTTGCCTCGTTCCTGTGGGCTGTGACTCTGTCCGGGAGAGAAATATCAGCTGTGCTGCTGCCACCAACACCCTTGTTTATAGATGTTTGAGATCGGCCTGTTTTCCAGTGTAGTCCTGTTTCTCTGACTGTGTCTAACTGGATGTGCTCTCTTCATCCTCTGACATGGGAGCTGGCTCGGAGCTTGTCTGCCTGGCTGTGTATTTCCGCAGTCGGCCTCAGCAGATGGCCGCTCACACTGAGCCTGGTTCTGCTGGAGGTTTCTTCCTGTTAAAAGGAAGTTTTTCCTCTCCACTGTCGCTACAAGCATGCTTAGTGTGAGGGATTGCTGAAGGGTCAATGAGTCGATGCAATCAGCTGGTTTTCCTTAGATTTTGAATCAATTTGACTGGATGACCTGGTGAACTGTAAAGTGCCTTGAGATAACATGTGAATTGGGGCTATAGTAATAAACTGAATAGAAACTGAATTGAGCTCAACAACAAACCAATGCTACCAAACACACAACCTTCCAGGAGAAGCTGATAAATATGGCCAGTATTCAATATCTGATTATAACATCAGATATCAGTGCTGGTCCCAATTTATTCGGACCAAAGCTGCTTTAAAACTCAGCAGGAGATTAGGAATCCCTTATTTATTATTGTTGGAGCAATTCCTTTTGATTTTTTGTCATTAGGACCTCCAGAAAACATAGTTTTGGATTCAAGACTGGATGATATGATAAAAACTATCTTTATTTTTGTCTATATAAACTTAAAGCCTCAGAGAATCGACTAAGGAAGCAAAACAGAATCCTTTAAAACTTCATTACAACAAAAAAACTAAACACAAAATGACATGAAATAACTGTTACAGAATTGTTAAGGCTGATGCTGGCGACTCACATTAGTCCAAGTGATCCCTGTAATGTGATGCTTAAGTTTTTGAGCCGATTCTTAGGATTAATGTTGCTTTTATTCCACCATTTCCACCATAGACCAACAATAGAGAGCGGAAGGAGTGAGCAGCAGTGAATGGCTTCCCCCAATCCGAGTGTACGGCTGCTGAACGCACTGATGAACCAGTGAACGCTGCACGCATCAGCAGAACAGAAAACGATTTCAAACCACAGAGGAGCAACTTTTGGTCATATTATATTTAACCCCAGTGAAATACTGACTCCCACCCTTAGGTGGTGATAAAACGTTTAAAGTGGGTTTATCGTCGACAAATATCCCTTTTTTTATAGTATTAATTCAAATTAATGCCAAATATATCTTAGATAAAAAAGAATATTAATAAGCTAACATTGAATTCATTCTTTTATATAATTAAACCTCCAGCCACTAGATGGCAGCCTAAGAGCAGAGCAACACAATCTTGTTTTTTCCAGAACTATATTATAAAAATTACAAAATAGTCTGTTTTTATGTATAAGGAAAAAAGTTATTATTCTGTGTGTAGCAACATTTTTGCCAATTCACTCCCGTACGCAGAGGGGAAGAGAGCGTCATGACTAGCACAGATCCATACATGGGAGTAGACGTGGGTAATTTACACACAACTGCAACTCCATCCAATACGATGCAAATTTTAAGCAAAGTTTTAAATAGTAAAAAATAAAAAATAAAAGGAAGAACATGTGAATTAAGGGCAGATTATACTTCTGCATCCGCACACATCAAATGTCGCTTGGGTCTGGTCGCCAACCAGCTTTGCTGGTATGCTTCTTCTGCACCGTCGGTCTGGACACACAGCAGTTTCCCGCCAAATGGCAAGAGGGAGCCTACTCTAGAACTCGCGAGAACTTCGGCGGATGGTCACGAGAACTTTGGCGGCGTCGGCGGGAGTGTTTATCTTCCACGTCTGAAAAATATCTGGGTCACGGAGATGGATCTAGAGTTGCTTGACATCGAAGAGGGACAGGTTCTGTTAATGGAGATGGCAAAAAGAACGATTAACCTTTCGTCGCAGTTGTCCATTGTAGTTGTTCCTGCAGTTGTTGTTAAAAATGGTGCGCCCCGGAACCGAATCGAGAAGGAAGACCACACATACAGCCGGAAAGGAGTACCAAGGACCAATCACAGATGCTTTGTGTCTGAGCACTTCTGCTTGAGGTCTGCATGGCTTTGCGACCGTCCGACGTGTAGTCAGGAATTTTTTGAGGTGCGCACACAGAGACAGATTTGATGGATGCAGAGGCTATGCGTCAAAAGCATAAATTGGCCTTTAGACACGTTTGAGGTGCATAGAAGCGATGCCAAACGAAACACTGTAGTTTAACATCTACAGGCTGGTCAATAGAGCAAAGCTAATTACAAATAGAATCAGTATTTGTTGGGGAAAATTGCATATTTACATCATAATTTTCAAATCCTTTCAGCTCCACCAGGAAGCTAAATAAGGAAGTTAAAGCCAAACTAATAAGAGTTTCTGGGCTTTCTGGATACTTTTCCACCAGATTAGAGAACCATCTTGCTCAAACACAGTGTCGTCGTCACTTTAAGACCCAGGCTGCTTTCTGCAGAACCCCCTCAGTTACAGATCGAAAATGTCATCATGTCTAAACCATCAACAAGTTTGCCCCTCAACACGATTAATTTTGTTTCTGAACAAAACAGGAAAGAGCTCAGGTGGACAGATGTTTGCTTTCTAAACAGCTTCTCCCTGCAGGACTGAATTCACAGCCTGGCATCAAAAAACAACAGCGGAGGGTTCAAACATGCCGCTTCCCTCCGCTGAGCTTCAAACACAGGCTGAGCAGGTTTTTACTGGAGGCAGATAAATTGATCTATTTTCCTCCTAAAAAGCCATGAATGCCAATCAAACTTCCATTTTACTCTAATTATTAAATTTAATATAAAATAACTGCTAAAAAAAAAAAAAAAAAAAAATTCTGCTAAAGTTCGAATACATTTTAATAGATTTTCAACATCTGAGCAGCCAATCAGCATTCAGGAACGGTCAGAGGAAAACGTCAATAACTGGTTCATGGTTCATTTAAACCAGGCGTAGTAACCAGCCAAGAAAAATGAAATCTAACCCCGAATAAACAAAATTATTCGCCTCAAAACAGACGGAAACTGAAGACCAAAGATGTCGTATGGTAGCCTGATGACGCGATCCGTCCTGGAAGAACAATCCGTACCATCAGCTCATTTTAGATGTGCAACCACATATACATCCAGGTCGCCCTCGATTTTATTTGCTATAAGACCTAAATTACGTTTTTCCCTCCTTAAAAATAGCAGGCGTACTAATCTATAAAGTGTTAAAGGTTAATAATGTATTCCTTTATGTTTTATCAGTCGTCTGTAGCCGATCTGCACCGGAAATGGAATCCTACGCTACTTCCTGGAGCTAACTTTTTCTCCTTTGGACCCAAACATAAATCTAGTCTTTTTGAGTTTTATTTTTTATTTCATGTTAACTTTACGGTATTTAGTGCCTAACTAAAGAGATGAATAAAACCAAAAATATAAAACATGGTTTAATCATATTTTGCTGGACTACTCTAAGCATGTCCGATGAGGAAGACAGACAAGCTGTTTAACTGAGAAAATGTAAAAAGCATAAAAACTATTTGTGTTAACATTCTTTAATGATTCTTTAATGATGTGTTAACATTTCTTTAATGATTTAAGGATAAAAATAAGTACTTTTAGTCCAGAACCAGCTCGGCACTCTGGGGGATGTAGGCAGAGGAAAGGATTTAGCTGACCAAACTCGTATAGACTTTCCTTCTCATAACAAGAAAAAACAAAATACTATTTCTAGAAATATTGACTTTTATTTTTCTGGTTATTCCAAGATTATGCTCAATAAAGACTTTAATGAGGGATTCATCTACATTTTCATTGCTCAGCTCTATATCTGTGTGATTCTGGAGATTAAAGTCCAGCATCTTAACTCTGAACGAGCTTGAACGGCAGCTGATGTTGAAAGTTTGATCCAGTCACATATTTTTGGTATCTGAACTACGATTAGAATTATTTCAAAGCTAAAACTCATCTATTCATCAAAAAATATGTTGTTTCTGTTAAAGCTTCAGTTCTGGTCCTTAGGTTCCTTTTCCTCCTAAGAACAGCAGCTTTAATGTTTTATTTCTATCACAGATTCAGTGTAAAAACTACAGGATGAGTTGAACCTGGATTTGGAGTTTTGTAGAGACGGGAACTATTTTCTATTAGCGGGCATTCATTTAGCATTATTAGAGTTTCTCACTGAAGAAACAATAAAAAAATAAATAAAAAATGTCAATACAGCAAATTCCTGTATCTACATAAATTTTTTCCATATTTATTTCAATTGGAAACATCTTGGAAGCAAATTCTAGACTTTTGAAGACTGCAGAAATCCTGTTAATTTGATTGTAGCAGACATCTAATTCATCACAAGATGTGATTAGGACCAAATACTCTCTACTGAAGCTCTCCATTTTTAATCCAACATGTAGTAACTCATGTTTATCCTGCCAGCAGAAAGTGAAGGAAGGAAATAAAGGAAACGGATGGAGAAGGAAGATGGACTGAGCGGGGTTAGAGGATGGGGTTCGGCACAAAAATGCGGTTCTTTGTTCTGAACTCGTGGCCCACTTTCTCTCAGCCCCCAAACATCACAGCGTTAACAGAGAAACATCGTGTCTGCAGTTTAAAGAGCCCTCTGTTCTCAGCCACATCCAGCTCTCTGCACACAGCCTGCATTCATGGAGCCGTCACAAACACCAACAGCTGAACCAGAGCCGGAAATCGCTGCTCTGCTCGCCACCTTAAGCTGCACAGCTGCAAAAACACGGCAGCCCAATCAGGGAGACACGCATCAGCTTTCACGCTCGTTCACCTTTATTCGAAAGGACGCTCCTTGCGGTCACACATGGGAAGAGTCTCAACAAGGACTTCCAGGGTGGAGAATGCAGAGCTACACTTGCTGGCTTGGGTTTCACCACAGACATTCATGCGGCCCCCCCGTGCCACATCACTCCAGCCTTTTTTCCAGAATCCAGGCTCACATTTCCTCCTCCCACTCCCCAGTATAGGAAGCTTATGGTGGTCCACAGAAACAAAAATGGTGTCCATATAACGGGAACAGGATCCTTAGCAGCCAGATAAAAGCATAAGCTTCAAATTGAGAAAAATCTTGGATGTGCTCCACAGCATGTTTTGAAACTGATGAGTGGAACCTGGCTGTGAGGAATCAGGGGGGCGCTGACGGGACGGACTCTGACAGCAGCGCCGCCGACTCGTTACGTTTCCCCTCACACAACGGGCAATAAACAGTGTCCAAGTTCCAGCGTCGCCGTGCCTTTGGCCAAACGATCATGGACTACTCTGCCCTCCTCTGCTGCAGTTTGAACAGCTCCATGTTCCTCCAACAGCCATTTCTAAAACTGGAGCTTTCGGGGGAAAAAAAAAAAAAAAAGAACAGGGCTGAGGAAAATCCATACGGTGCAAATCTGTTCCTACAGGACACAGGAAGCCATGGCTCAGAGCGCCTGGTGTCCTCAGAGGGAACGTCTGGAGGAAATTCCTCTTCTGCTCCTGTTGTTTTTATCCCACTGATGATCTTTTTGTCCCCTGCAGTGGGGTAGGTGTCTCTGCAGCTGCCTGCTTCTGTGCAAGGACCAAACTAAGCTGGCATCCAATGTCAGTCCGAACAGAGCATGCTCACTCACGCCCTTCCCTCTCCCCAAGACACAACTCCTCTCCCAAACAGAGACGTTTTCTCCTGCAGGACACCAAAAAGGAGATTTCCACTCTGTTGTCGCCTCAGCAGCGTTCCTTCTTCCTATCACGGTTATGTCAGCTTAAATCCTGCATATTCTTCCCTTTCTTCCGACTTTCCCTCTCCCCCCTCCCTGCGTCCGAAGTTGGTTCTGCAAGTGTCAGATTTCAGTCTTCGTCTCGCTGCAGGCTCTACATCAGCTGCCCCCACTGACACCACACTTTCCTCCCTCTTTCCTTCGGTCCAGGCCGTTTTCCCCTCTGCCTTCAAACAGGAAATCAGGTATTCCAAAAACCCCATAAAACAGTCTTTTGGTTTTTTTTACAGGCATTTGCACACGTTACGTCCAGGAGAATTTTAGGAATTTTACATTCAGTTTGCTTGCTCTGCTACACAAGCTCATTCCTGGTCACATTAACACTACATTGAGCTGAGCCAACCAGAACCAGCAGACTCAAATAAAAGTAAAATCAAAAACAGACTAAACAAAAAGCAGCTCATTCTCTTTTTTTAAAGACAGAAACCAAGATGCAGAAGAACTTCTAAACTCATCAGATCAAACTTTAGCTCCCAGAACAGAGTGGAAGCATCTGGACACAGAGTGCTGTGGACCTCTGAAGGCCTCTGGCTCTGAGCCGTAAGCAGTTGACCACCTGGAAATCATCAGGTTCTCCTCAAACTAGGGCTGCAACAACGAATCCATAAAATCGATAAAAATCGACTTTTAAAAGCGCTGGCAACGAATTTCATCATGGATTAGTTGTGTCGTGCGATTAATGCGTCATCCGCCGCCGCCGTCATCACTGCCACTTGACTGAAACGGGGGAAGAAAAAAAATTACGTCAGAGTGAGCCAGCGCTGCAGGTGCAGTGTTGCCAACTCAGCGACTTTGTCGCTATATTTAGCGACTTTTCAGACCCCTCCAGCGACTATTTTTCAAAAAAGCGACTAGCGACAAATCTGGCGACTTTTTACGGTGTCACTGGCGGCTTTTGGAGACTCTTACGTGAAAGCATGTATCATTCCTACTCTGCCGTGGGGCGCCTCCCCCATCCCAACCATGTTCTCCCGCAGGAGTCCCTCTCAGCGCTGCAGTCAGAGCCGCAGGAGGTTTACCCTCAGCGTCCAGACTGCAAATGAAGCGCGCATGCGCCGGGATTGACGGCGCAAATTGATCACAATAATTAAAATAGCCGGCGCTTTGTAAAGTGAAAAAAGTCGTAACATGCAACTTTTGTCAAAACAAATGAACATGGCACGGAAGCACCATGTTTGTTTGGTTTTAAAGTGGGGAAACGTAACGTTAGTTTCTCAGGTAGCTCATCTGATGCTTTCCTTACCTTGTTAGTAGGTTACAGACAGTGATAAGGTTGGCTACTTATTTTACTTTTAATTTAATTTGAATTAGCTTAAGCAGCGTTTATATTTACTTTATAAATAATTAACTTGCAAATTATGAGGGCAAGGCTTTTAAAGTTTAAATCTTCTGGCAAAGATAAAGTAAAGAGGATCCTGTATTTTATGGAAGTAAAGCAGAATAAAATCCAGCATCTCTATGGTTCAGTATTTTCTCAAGTAGCAACTTTAACTGCTATACTTTCCTGTCTGAAAAGGCAGAACTCTTCTAGTATAAAAAAAACCTCATTTGTTGAAATGGGGGGGGGCTATTGTTTGAGCCCCTTAGGGGCTTTTAAAAACAAAAATTTCTTTTTTGCACTTTATGAAACAAACTACCCTATATTTTGTGGATGTACAGCTACATTTCTCATGTAAGTTTGCGTAGTTTTAACACAAACATTTATTTTTCATATTGCACCAGTACAGTTAATGAGCAACCTGTACTTGTGTGCTTGTTTGTTCTGTCTAAAATGTTTATTTTGGAATAAAGAGGTTAAAAATAAAAATATTTTTTGTCCGATTCATCGATTTTTAAAATAATCGTTAGTTGCAGCCCTACCTCAAACCCTTGTGGAGGCATTCAGCAGTCAAACAGAATCTTCTTCTGTTTAAAAAAGCCAGTTTGGATGAAGGACTGGTCTTATTCATCTACTGGGACTTTAATACGTAATGTCTATGCCAGTGAATAGTAGATTTCTTAATAATTAATTATCACCTCTTATCAAAGTCAAGCCTGAGTCCATATCACTCGCCAAGCAACGTGTTGGTGGCAAATACCAGATACTGAAGGTCAGAGAGCATCCTTAAGCGTCTGATTGGTTGCAGCAGCAGCTTTGCTACTCAGTGCAGCAATAACCCTCATGAAGAGCTGCTAGAGCGGTGACGGTCTTCTCCTAGGCTTTGAATCATCAATAAAGGGTGTTTTCATAACAGGATACTCTTTTGGTTGGAACCAGAGGCCCCCCACATACTCAGGTATAATACGCTCATACTGTCAGCTGCATGGAGTCCACGCATACTTTCTGCAGATGGTTAAAAGGGAACGCCGGGGTTTTTTTTGTTGACATTTGGCCCTTGATTTTACGTTATTGCATCATGTTCTACTCACCCATATGAGTTTTGTGTCATTTGGAGCCGTTCTGAAGATATTCCATTAGGTTATATCCAGTAACGTCTTCCTATGGGCAACGACTTGAAGACACAAACTAAACTGTTCATCATTTATTCTTTACGGTACGCCACCATTCATAACATGTAGGCGAATCAATGTCCCCCAGAAATCTGCGGTTATATTTTTATATTTATATCTTTTAAAAACAAAGCGCAGTGTGTATGACATCATCCGTGTGCCGGCTACCGTTCATTCATCCTGTCCGCTGAACTGCTGCTAGTTTTACTTACATGCCTGGAAGATGTCTAGTGCTACTACCACAGATAATCGCGCTATCGAAATGGAACTGAACGATTCAGATTAGCTAGCCGAATATATAAGAGGTAGAGCGTAGCCGCCTGGTGTAATGTACATTGGTTAAATAAAGTATTTTTTTAACCGGATGGCGTCATACACTCCCCGCTACCTTCAAAAACAATGGAGTGTAGTGCTGCAACTAACCATTATTTTCCAAATCTATTAATCTGTTGATTTTTTTTTATTTCTCAATTAATCATCAGATAGCAAAAGGTTAATAAAAGAAGACTTTTTACAAAATTGAACCAGTTGAAACCAAAACATTTTCCACTTTAAGAGCTATGGATAGAGTATATTGACAGACAAAAAAGTTTATCATAAATGCAAAATGTTTACATACTTCTTTTTACAATTTCGTCTCCAGTCCTAACGGAGTGCATAAAATTACACCGATGTACTCATTCAAACTTTTGGTTTAAAATTTAAAACATTTTATTTTAACCAGTTCAAAGCTTTTCACTATTAATATTCCAACATTATGTCTTTCGGTGTCAGTAATAGACCTTTTGAGAAGATCCCAGCAACCAAATAGCAAACAATGCAAAAACACACAATACTAAATAAAATATAAAAAGGGCTGTTTCGTGCATAATTAAAAATAAGCAAAATAAAAAAAAGAAATTGACTCCAAATTACAAAAACAAAAGTTGAAATACTGTCCAGAAATGCTTTTTGCACTGGGTTGGATGTAAGCCAGATTATTATAGGGATGTAAATAAGGGATGCACGATATAATCTGCCCCCTATCGCTATCGGCCTGTATCGGCCTTAAAACTGAATATCGGACATCGGCCACCCCACCGATATTTAACCCGATATTTGATCAGCTTCTGCGTTTCTAAAGTTAAAAAAAAAATACTTCTTCCTCAAAAACTTCTTTTTTACAGACTTAAAAACTTTTAAAGACGAGGGAAAAAATATTGATACATTAAAATATCCCAATATCTTCATATGCTGATATATTGCCATTTAAAAACACCATATCAATCTCTTTTACTAATGAAATATTGCTATATGTCATCGTTATGCTATGGAATCCCCTGAAAATTCACGAAATTTTGCCATATTTTTATATGTTGATATATTGACGCGGCATCGATCTATTTTACTAACAAAATCTCACAAGAATTTGCAAAATATCACGAGAGTTTGTAACAGAACGATAAAATTTCACGAGATTTTGAAAGTTAAATACATCGATACCACGTTTTTAAAAATCTATTTGATATCAGCATATGAAAATATATTTGAGTATATTATTTTTCAAAGTGTCAGAAACGGATAACAAAACTGCTATTTTCAATGACTACTTATTTTTGTCCAGCTTTAACATCGGTATCGATATCGGTTATCGGCTACATGAGTTTTAAAACATCGGCATATCAGATTTCGGCCAAAATCCCAATATCGTGCATCCCTAATGTAAATAACTAATGTATAATCAACTTTCTATTAATGAATTATTAGATTTAAAATTGGTTCCATCTGATTAACTGATAATGTCCCTTAAAAGAAATTTCTTTCCATGTTGTAATATTACTGCCGTCCACTAGAGGACGTCACTTTAAAGCGAAGCCTCACAATTACTTGAAATAGAAGTTATGTCAGTGGAGAGCCATGAAGGGATCCAGGGGCGGTCCAGATTATTTCCACTGTTACATGGATCCAAGGATGCAGAATGAACTTTGTGTGGTTCTGTTAGTGGATATAAACTCTGGATAAACTCCTTCAGTTCTCCTAAATGGGTCCATTTAGCGGCGCTGCATGGAGGAGCAGCAGAACTTCTCTGCTGTGATCAGAAGGAGAGGATGATTAAAAAAATGGAGGGAATTACAAAAAGCATTTGGAACAGAGGAAGAAGACATGCTAACTGTTAGCATGGTAGATGGAGAAGCTTTATGGGGTAATGACCTTCATGGAGCCAAGTTCTAACATTCCTCTCAGAGGAACCAGAACCACCTCTTTAAAAGCTTTGCTAGCCGAACCAACGCTGTTTCTCAGTTCACAAGAACGCGGGTACGGACTTGTGTCCTCGCCAAGTATGTTCCTGACAAGTAGACAGGAAAGCATGGACTAGGGGAGAACAGAAGCACAGCATAAATATGGGTCAATTGGAACTGAAGCGTACTGCAGCCCTTCATGTTGTGGAAAGGATACCAGAGAAAACTCAGGTTTAGAGAAAATGTCTGTTTATCAGTAAAC